ACAGACTATTCTTGACAAAATTCAGAGGAAATTTTAGTTAGCCAGGACTGAATGAGGCCTTAGGCTAGTGAATTACTTGATTTCTTTGAGCCTGCTTTGACAAATCTAAGGTTAGTAGAGAAACTAGATGCCCTCAGAGAAAACAAAACGGACAATGAATTACTTACTTACAGATTGACTTTAGCAAGCAATGATTCTGCTTCAATCTTAATTCATCCAGGAACTGGAAAAAATACAGAACTAAGCCAGCTGTTAAGACTCCTCCCTTCGAAGTTGAGCTCATTCCCCCTCCCCTGCCTCCAGCACAGACTTAGCACTTCACACTTCGAATAGGATGTGGTTAAGTGATGGTATAGCTTCTTTGTTAGGGCCTGGATGACTTGCTCTGGGGGAGGTCAACTACCACCACAATGTGAGACACTCAAGCAATCCAAAGAACCCCAAAGAACCAGACCCACCATCCAACACTACTGAGGGACCGCCATCCAGCACTACTGAGTCACCATGCAAGCAGATGCTGGAGGCACAGTAACCTGACTGCAACTCAAAAGACCAAGAGCCACCCAGCTCCACCATTCCAATTCCTAACACTGTCTTAATTTGGGAATACAGCAAAAGATTATCAGTATTTCTAAGACTGTAGGTCCAAATTCCTTTTTGGTTGATGAAATAAATAAGGGAGCCCAATGAGTTTCTCATGTACACACCTGCAATCCCAGCACTGGGGAGGGGGAGGCGAGAGGATTCAAGGCAACAAGTAAAGTTCAAAGCCTGCCTGGGCTACATCAGACCCTGTCCCAATAAATGACAACTCTTGGGCTAGAGAGATGGCTCAGCGGTTAAGAGCACGGACTGCTCTTACAGAGGACCCAGGTTCGAGTCCCAGCACCCACATGGCGGCTATAACCCTCTTCTGGCCTCTGGAGACACCAGGGGCGCACATGGTGCAATGAGATACATGCAAGTCAAAGCACTCCTACACATATAATAAAAATAAGAA